CAGTCTGATAAACTTTGCAACGTTAGCGGGAACCAAAAAAAAAAAAAAGTCAGAGTAATGGAGCAATCTGGCGCGGCAGGATACGGAGAAGGGCCAGCGACGGCGGGGGAGCTCTCCAGGTAAGGGGGCGCTCTTACGATGCGAGCCGCGGCGGTGCTGCGAGTTTGTGCTTGATTGCTCCAACACCCAGGGAGCCCCGCGAGTGAATGTCTAACTTGCAGTTAGTGCTGGGCACAAAGAGGCAGGTAATGACTGCACTGCACCACGCAGGAGCTATTTATGGGATAATTTATTACTCATTAATAATGCATTAGTACGAGTTTCAGCTTATCTTTGTTTTATTATTGAGCCGTTAATCATGTAAGAGCAAGGAAATCTGCAGTGCTCTCCCAAAGGCTTATTACTGGGATGGGGAGAACCTGAACTCTCTCTTTCCCTTTTTAAAATAATGAGGGAAAGTTTAAGCAAAGCATTCATTAGAGTTTCTTTGCACTTGCACAAAAAAAAACACTTTTTCGCTGATAGGGAGGTTCCTGCTGTTCCCGAAGTGAGGAATGAAATTCTCTCACTGCAGAAGACAGGGCCTGGGGACAGTGGGGCGGTGCACTACTGTACTGTGTCAGAGAGAGAGGGTGGGGGTCGTTACGTGACAGGCAGAAGGATCATACAGTTTGCAAAACACACTTTCTACATGTATCAATATTACAGAAAAACATAAAAAGATAGGTTTGTGAATGATCAGTGTTGTGAGCTAATGCCCAGTAAGTCAATATCAAATATATGTAAAGTATTGGTATGGCAGGTAACCGCATAGTACCATATATTTTTAGGTGGGTAGCTGCGTCAGCATGCGTAGGCTGCAAAGGAACAAGTAATAGGTTTATTCCATGCTGAAAAAAAGAAGAAAGAGAACACCATATATTTTTACATTTGACGAGCCTTGTGAATATTTTATTGGATAAAACCAATGATTAGCATGTATTTATTTTTTCAATTATTCTTGTTCTTGTTAAAGAGCAGAAACATAAAACTTAATTATCAAGATTGTACTTGAGTGTCATTAGTGGAGTCCCATAGGGATTCACAGCTACATATTTTATGTTCTTACGTATCAAATAATATATCAATAGACCAGCTATCTATCTAAATTCTGATACAGGTAGTAAACTTGTCAAGTCACAGTTGGTATAAAAAGAGTACAGGATCGGCAAAGGAAAATCGAAGAGACAGACAAATTGTGTTTGAGCAAACGCTGGCATGGATATTTCATGTAGAGAAGTACAGAATATTACACACAGGGAGAAAAAAACACTGAGCTAGAAGATGCTGTCTATGAAAAAGGCTTAAAGTCTTTAAGCTGTTATCATTTGTCTTAAAGACAAACGTCTTAGAGGGGAAGCAATAGAAGTTTAACAGAGATTAGGATGTATATTAACAGTGCAGAATTCACATCAAGGGACGTTGTGTTAAATTTGTATTGCGCACCACTAAGAGCTCAATTAGGATACTGTGTACAGTTTTGGACACCACGTAACAAAAAAGTTTTTTTCTGTTCTGGATTCAGACCAGAGAAAAGCCACCGGATACATCAATGAATGCCCTACCCTGACAGGCTAGAATAGCGCAATATTTTCTGTCTTGAATAGAGAAGAACATGAGGGGACCTGTTTCAAGTACTCTGATTCTTGAAGCTCATTGACAAATTTCTTCACGTGGAGACTGCAGGGCAGTGCATTTAAAACCCGAGGACAGCGGGCGCCTCACTCCACAGAGGGCTGTGGGAGCGCGCGCAGTTCTGTTGCGAAAGTTGACACCCCGGCCTCTTTCAAGAAGCGGGTGGATGAGATGGTCGGATCAGCCACAAGGTGGATGGGTGATACAGCACATGCATGTGCATGCTGGAATGTTGTGGCTCTGTACGTCTGATGCTCATCTACCTATTCACCAGTGAAGGAGACGGACAAGACACAGGCTTACCCAGAAGGGCCTGGAACAGCTGGCTGCCGAAGATGGCGGTGACTTTGCCCACGCTGGCTCTCAGAGGCTGCTCCTCCGGGCCAGTGAGGCTGGCCTGGTACTGCCTGAGCAGGCTCACAGCCCTCTGAGTGTCTGCGGGACAGGGGACAAAGGAGTCACACAAGGCAAAAGGAAGCATCGCGGGCCAGTGTCATTCAGCCATTCGTCACCCTGAGCCACGGACACGGCTAGCAGAGGAGCAAAGAGGCTACCAAAAACAGGTACAGGGCTGCATTCATCTGAAGGTCACACAGAAAGAAAAGTGCTCTGTACCTCTCCGTCACTAGTTAAAATAGGACATGTCTAGCAACATTCTAACTATTATTAAACACCTGTGTCAGTTTCTTATTACAAGTCCAACCCAGGTCTCAGCATGCTTATTTCTGTAGGAAGCGAACCTTGTGAGTAAATCTGCTGTCTCAGGGTGTAAAATGCGACAACGTGACACACTGTGCAAAGCACTGGGTGCATCATTTATCAGCTTCCCACCAGAGGGCAACTTGGAAACGGAGGTTGGCAGCGCTGCATGAACTCAGGGGCGAGCTCACCTCTGTCGCCGGAGCTGAGCAGCGCACCAAGTCGAAGACGAACGCTGAAATAACTGCACAGCCCCGGAGGTTGCAATGCAGCAGCCGCAAGTTCACTCTTTAATACTTAATTTCCAAACGAACCAGGTCTGGGAAAGTCCTTTTAACAATCAGAACATGTCTGATACTCTGGCAGTTTTAGGGTCTTTAGTCCACTTGTGTATGACTGCTTACACAGGTTCCCTTGTGTTGCTTTGCTGTTAAGGGATGTTACACAAAGCAGCCTAACACACTGAAATCAATATCACAGTTAAGGGAGGGAGTCCACACTTCCCTGCCTGGGACTGACTCTTCAGCCTGGGCCAGAATCAGTTAAATATCTCTAGGAAAAAGTGTTTTAAAGCCAAAATAGCAGCGTATTATTTAGATAACATGTATAATTCACACAGTAGTATTCTGTATACAGTTGCCAATTCTGTGGCAAGCATTCCAGTGGAAAATTCAGCCTGTGGATTTTCTCAGGGAGTGACTTTTAATATTTAAAAAACCTAGACTTGTGGTGTATCACAAGCCATAGCTCCTGCAGAGCAGCACTAATTCCTTAATAGACCTGTGAGCCAAATTCCTCCTGCTTCCGAAGCTCACGACAACACTTACCCATGTCTTGTTGACCTATGACCCCTGGGGACAGATGTACCTCATTTTCCCGGGCAGCTCCATTCACACAAGAGGACAAAATTCCACACCAAACATCCCACGTGAGCACAAAGCTACCCCTTGATCTGTGCACGGAGACTCAGATCTTAAGTGCCTTCATTCCAAACCATTTTTTGTGAAACTGCAGCTAAAGTAGTACTGTTACATTGCCCAGTAGTGATATAGTTGCAGTTACTGTTATCAGCAGTATTAAATTAATGTAGGGACTGCAGCACTAATCTGTAGATTTTTTTCCCGACAGGCAGCTGCAGGAGTAGCAGCTGTAGCTGCAGGTGAAAGCGCCAGTACACTGTTTTAATACTCATCATATGCGGATGTATAAGCAGAGCAAGGGAGGTAAATATTAGGGGATGCATGCAAAAGCTCTGCCCTCTGGTTTGCCACTTCATAGGCAAGAACATCTGGCATTTTGTAACCATAACAGCCCCGCAGTGCGTGCTCGCGTCCGGGATGCTCGCAGGGGCGTGACGGTGCGCTCCAGCCCCGTGCTGCAGGTGTCGGCCGCCCGCCTCAGGTAGCGGCTCACCTGGGGGGGTAGCGGCCGCCCAGCCTCCGCGTCCGTCCCTGCCCACACCCACCCCCCCTCTCCCGGCCTCTCGCAAAACCGCGCTGCACTGGCACCGTGCGGATTATTGAAACTTTCCAAGGAAAAATACTTCCTGTTTCCCTTGAGAATTGCGAAAGGAGCGTCTGGCTTCAAACCGCTCCAGCATACTCGGAATGTGTTGAGTAATACTGAGCGCAAGTGCCATCTGCTGTTAGCGTTTTCATTCCCATCAGGTTTACTTCAGGAACAGGTGTCTGGCCCTTTTACCATCTCGCCGGCATTTGTGAAGTTTTATTAGAAGTTCGAACAAAATCATTAAGCAAAACAACAACAACGACAACATAAAACAGCCGTATCATACACACTTACCGTACTTGTGTACCATGACGTGAAAGCGATGTAACGATGAAGGGAACCGTTTCACCGAGTGAAGTTGTCTCTTCGGCACCCCTAAACCTTGCTAAAGACATATAACCTCACTTGGCAAAGGGGCGGACAGGAGAGCTTACTACTCGTTATGTTCACGGGCTTTCCCAAACTTTTTTAATAACTTCCTTTCGTAACTTCGGAAGAGCCGGCGACCCAAAACTAAAAAAAAAGAGCAGTCGACGCGAAAGGTTTCCCTTCGAAGTTGCCTCCTTGCCCGACCCTCCCAGGACGGACCGAGACACGGTGGCCGCCGCCGCCACCGCGCTGGAACTATACGCCGGCTGCACCGGGGACGAGAGATCAGCCCCGTGTCGGAGCGAAAGTGTGCGGCCGCCGAGCCCCCGGCCTGCGAGGCGTCCTTAGTGTGGAACCCGGAGTGGGAACGGCTCTGGGACGCAGGGGAGAGGGGAGGGTGGGTCCAGCAGATCGCCTCCTTAGCTCCCCGCACCGCCGGACAGCGACCGCCAGGGGGCCGCCTTCGCGGTGCGTAAAGTTTTGGAAACGCACTCGACCAGACACTCACCGCCGCGCTTCATTGACACCTGTTGCGGTCATAATGAGAAAGGCAGAAAGCAAAAAAAAAAAAGCAAAGTGTCTCGCATTTACCCTCTGCGGGATATGCTAGTTGAAGAGCTAAGAACGTAAAATTAGACGTTTCTTTTTTGATCTGGGAACAAAAAGAATTTCTATTTTCAAGGGAGGAGTAGCGGTAGGTTTGTAAACCTGTTATGTTTACGAGGAGAGCGCAGCATTTACTATACCTTGATGTTCAATCCGGAGAGTAAAACTGTTCAAAAAAGCAGATGCAAACAGAACTCGTTCGCTTAAAATAGTTGTAGAAATGTACTGTTCTGATTATATCTTTGTGTGAGAGTAAAAGAGGACTCGACGATTCACTCACACCGAGCTTTTTCCTTCAGCTTTAATTTGCATTTTCCGATATAGTTCACACCGTTCAGGTTGTACCCGCAAAGAAAGATTGTCTCAGAAATACAATCAGTTTTGTACACAGAACGTATTGTGCCGTTGTAGCAAAGTTATAAATTGAAAGTCTTTCTAAAACGAGTTTCAGATGCACAGAAACGGAATATGCGGTGGCTGCTATCTAGTGGCGACGAGCCGCAGTACATCACTGCTGTCTTTTTTTAAAAACTAGAGGAAGCGGAACAAGCGCTTACAGCCTGTTTATCAAATCCGTTGGTCCCTGTGGAGCACCTGTATCGTGCAAACCGCTCGGTGTGACAGTGACACGTGGAAAAAAATGCAGACGAGCCACCTAGAAACGCGCTTCCACGAAACAATGTCAGAACACCCCCACAGAGCACCCTGGTGTCCCACGCGTATGTGCTGCCGACGTCATTGCTCCCCAGTGCTGCTCTCGCAACACCGCGGTTCGAGAAGGCCAGCCCCGGGGGCCTGACACGAGTGGGAAATAAACCCAGCTATGTTCACGACAGAAAACAGGAGACGTTTCTCGGCACAGAGGATTGTGGGAATTGGAACCAAGTCCCTAGTCATGGCTGTGAAGTTGTGAGAAGCTACTGTACGCCTGTGGATCCTTTAAGAAGGAGAAAATCTTAGACTTAGAACAACAAGACACTAGAATTCAAATGAGCAGAAGTCTCAGAAGATGAGGAGGCATCTCCTGCTCTGGGTGCTGGGGAGTGGGCAGATCTTATAAGACAAAAGAACACCGTAAACATTTTATACACTCAATTTCTAACGTTTATTTGAGAGAAAAAAAACATTTCAAAATCACTTCCTTTTCACAGACCCAGGGAACACTTTGCACACAGAGAATGCCTAGAACAAACAGTTAATGTCTGAAATAGTTTCCAAGCATTTAATGGGAACCCAGCTCATTTCAAGGGACCCTTCAAGGATGCATGAGACGCTGACAGGCTTTGCAGTGGGGCTGCGGTCAGCCTCCGGTGAGCCGAAATGTTTGTTTACCGCCTCAAGGTCGTTGTGTGATTCCTCTCCCCCTTTCTGCAGCTTCGGTGAAACAGTGTGTTGCCACGAAGGAGAGAAAAATCACAATACAGAAGACGGATATTGAACCGTTTACGGAAAACCAGGACTATTCAGTCGCCCATCTGCAATCGGAAATTCCCGAGCCAGCTCTGGGTACACATTGCCACATCTCTGGCGGGGGCAGAGGGAGGCTCTGCTCAGAACACATGCACAGCATGCGATGGGCAAGACCAGGGCCCGCCTGCTCTCGCTGGGCAGGAGGCGGGCTTCACTGGTCCAAGTTAGCCCATCTTCCAGGTGTCGGATTTTAAGGTTGCAGGAAACCTGCTGCATTCCGAGGCCTCGGGGGCACACCTGGACCAGGCTGACCAGCACTGCTGCCAGGGAAGACACTCTGGCTGTGGAGGACTGAACACTGAGGGCTTTTCATGCAGCCACAGGGGGTCCTAGTTGGACAGGTAATCTGAGGGGGAGACAGCACACAAAGAGGCACTTCGGTGCATGAAGACGCTAGCATCTGACTTGTGCACGGGGACAGTGAGTGGCTCGCAGTGAACGCAGGGACAGCAGGAAGGAGGAAAAAGCCCCAGAACAGCCCAGTGTTTCACAGTATATAAGCAAAACATAATACAGACTTCACAATAATATCTGTACACAGGTAGAGTGCTGGTAGTTAAGGAAGGCACTAAATATGTAAAAAAAATAGTGTCTTTTAAAAAATATACTGTAAAATGTCATTGATATATCAAATGTTCCTCCAAAAAATAATTATATACCCTCAAAGCTCAAAATACATACTGTCTACCGAGAAACATCAAAAGAGCGACCACACTGAAATTAACATGAACAAACCTCTGAATACTAAACTAACACAGTTACAAACATGGAACAAATCGCTTTAGGCAAATAGGCAACCAGTAAACATTTGTCCATTTTTGTGGATACAGTTTTTGGTTGCATCAGGGGCCAAAATGCCTTATGTCACACCCACAGAAAGTGTCATTAAGAAGGTCGTATGTTAAATGGGGCTCAAGACAAGCTTTGAAGACTTCACAACACTTGACACGTATTGTGTCTCCCTCATTTACTATTGTGTGCATCACGCCACGCTGTCCCTGAGAAGATCACTGTGGAAAGTGCAATTCTGTTTAAGTGGTGCTTCAGCAGTAAACAAGTCGTGGACTAATTTCCTAGCAATGGATGCATTTTAAATCCGTTCTCTGAAAAACTGAATTTGCTACATCATTAATTTAAAATGAAATTACTGATACATTAATTGGAAAAATATATTTTGTAGAAAACCACTTTAAGAAGTCCATTTCTGTACAAACGTCATAAAACAATTTATCTGCTGAAATACACTCGACTGACTGACTACTTCAGTATCCTTAAATGTCTGACCATTATCCTGACAGGAGGACTTAAGTGAAATAAAGAATTTGACAAATGTCCACTTGAAATGTCTGTGCTAGACACAGTTCTTCTGACAAGGTAAATGTGGTTCATATACAGCTCTCTGTATATATGTATATTTCTGAGGAAATTTCACATTGATTCCTGTTCAGATGCAAATGGAATCTGTTTCCAGAATAAACCTGAAATGTTAGTCCTTTCTCATGTGTTTCTGTTTGAAATAATGACAGTGCAAAGCCTGAGCAGGCTTTCTAATCACCCAAAATGCACATCCCCCACATCATTCTGCTCCATGGTTTCAGTGCTTGAAGGACAGACAATCAACCCACACCAGTGCATTTGCAATGAAACCTTCTATCCATTAGAGAAGAGAGTCACAGTTACCCCAGACCCGTGTACCCCAAAAAACAGACTTCAGTAGAGAGGCAGCCCCCAGCAGCCCGGACACTTTGGAAGGCACCATAGAAAATGTCACCTTCCCCAAATGAGAGAGCTGTGCCTTCCTTCCCCAGAAAGTGCATGATGCTTAAGAGAGAATCCTAGATAGTCCCAGAGGTAGAACCCAGAACCAGACTGTCGTCGGCCCGGCTTTCACAAGAAGGTGTCCAGTTCTTGCTCATTCCATACTGAGTACCCGTTTCTGTGCTCCTCGTTCTCTGTGGAGAAACGGATACAGAGCATTTCAGTGTCTCCTCCTTGCTGCAACTCAGTGCACTCCACTTGCATGCAGGCTAAAGCTCTGACTTGTGACACATTGTTCCATTGCATTGCCACCAGGGTTTCTTTTCCCAGCATTATTCCTTACAAACAAGCAAAGTCTTCAAGTGGCTTCAACAGACACTGCAGGGGATTCTCTTGTTTACCCTTCCCATGTCCAGATCCATGCAAATATCTCATTTACTGCAGTAGTGTTCCAGCAGGACCTTTGTCCTCTTAAAAAACTCCAACATAAAAGGATTAAACTGACATGATTTTTTCAGTAAGTAAGATAAACCTTTTTTTGTTTTGTTGTTCGTGTAAAAATCTTAAACAGAATAATCAGGTATGTCTGCCCAAACACAGTTTACAGGAAACCTGTGAACAAGCATACAGTTTATGTTGAACCTGGTGTTATTGTTACCAGTGAAGAGAAAGCACTGAGCTTACAGTCTCCTCATTGTCAGATATGCTCAGAGTCACAGATGACACAAGAGAAATCCCCTCCTTCAAGCTCTTGACCCAGGCAGTGCAGCACAGAGTTTCTGTGTCTCTGGTGTGCTGTCCTACACTCCTTCTGTATGTGAAATGGTAATGAAGCGTACTCACCAGTCCCACGAGTGAAACGCCGCCTGGTTTAAAAACAGAGACAGAAAACAGGATCGGTCAGGTTGCACTTGTAAACCAATACTGGACCCACAGACAGCAAAAGGTCACAAAGCGTTTAATAATAATAGCAGACCTCTCTCAGCAGACCTCTCTCAGTGAGGCACCACTACAGTAACATTGGGATGCATGTCAATTTTGCAATGCCTTATGATCATTGATAACACCTACATAAACATTTTGTAAAATGTTTATAGTAAACATTAATACAATGTCTCCCCTATCATAATGCAGTATGCAATATCGCAAGCCACAGGCCTTCAGGAATTCAGTGGTGTTGCTGATCACTGGAAACTGGAGTGTCCTGACCGGCTAATCCCAACCCAGTCCAGCCTGGGAGAGCTAGTAACCCTAGCTCAGATTCCCAGCGCCAGGAACACAGAGCTCAGCCTGGGCTCAGTGAGTGTCTCATTAGAGATCGATGGTTTTCTTAATTGACGGGTGTCAGCCCATCAGACCGAAGCACAGGGCCGCAGGTTTTAAAAAGCCAAGCCTCTCTGGGACTCACCTCTGTAGCAGGAACAGGCCCAGGATGACAAGCAGGAAGACGGAGTCCACGGTGATCCAGAGCATAGTGTAGGTATCGGGAGCCTGAAAACACGAGCACACAGAGGCTGGCCATCAGTCTACTGTGGAAACCACAGCTACAAATGCTTTGCCAGTAAACCGAGTTTCCTCCAGCTTTTGTATTTGACCCAAAGGGTTGTGAGAGTCTGTGCCTGTGGCTGGAAGGTTGCCGGTTCGAATCCTGTGACCGGCAGGGGAATCCTATCCATTGGGTAAAACCCTTCACCCCAACTGCTCCAGGGGCGCCGTATAAATGGCTGACCCTGCGCTCTGACCCGCAGCTTCTCTCCCTGTCTGTGTGTCTCATGGAGAGCAAGCTGGGGGTCATTTGAAAAGACAAATTCTTAATGCAAGAAATGCCAATAAAGTGATCTTAAAAACATGGAAACCTCAAAACCGTGGTCGAGCTCACGGAAATGCTAACAAAAGAAAATTCCTTCAAACCAGCCCAGATCATTTTTAAAAAAGTACATCTGTCCTATCATGCATTCAGATTTAAAGTGGAACTGGGGTTTTAATGCTTGATGTCATCTCATGCACCAGGGTGGGGTATGCACTGAGTATCTCCTCTCTGTTGAAAGAAGAAGTCCACGATGCTGCACGAGCACTGTTCACGGACGTTAGTGAGCGGCGTGGAAGGGGGCGTGTGGGAGTACTCACGAGGATCCAGGCGGGCTGCGTCATGTTCTTGAAGTGGCGGCAGGTGTTAGTGGTGACGGAGGTCACCCCCGAGCACCAGAGCAGAGAGAAGAGCCAGGACTCGTTCACCACGTACAGGTTGACCGACACGTTTCCCCGCCTCAGATCCCTGCCGGCAACCAACACAGACGCCAGTCACGCGCCGGCTCGCTCTGGGGAAACCCTGGAGCCATGGCGGCTCTCCGCAAGTGTGACCGTTGCGGTTCCGCGCGGCCTCGTGCCCTTGCCGCTCCACCCCACCGGTTCGTCCCGCCACGCCTGGGGCGCGAACCCGGGTCTCCGGCGTAACACAGCAGGGAGCCAGCCGAGTGAGCTTAAGGAGACCCCCCCCAGCCCAGGCGGCTGAGGCCCCTGCTACGCGGAGGGAGGGTGATAACGTCACCGTGTCCAGACCAGCTCCGCCACACAAGCACAAAGCGGCAGCAAAGTCAACACGGGAACGAACAATGCAGATCTGCTGCGGACAAACACGACAAACAGCCATACAAGAACACAATCAGGGAGCACCAGGCACCGGCCCCCAGTGCTCAAGCCCACCTGATCTCCGCGGGGGTCAGGCTGCTGTATTTGAGGTTCAGCTGGTCTCCTCCGTCATCCTCCATCAAGGATTTATTAGCATAGACATGCTTAAAATCTGGGGCCTTCATCTTCACAAGTTTTCTGTACCGAGATGGCAACCACAGCACCTGTACGGAGAGACCATCACCGCCCCCTGTAAGAGCTCCTCCATGTGCTCTGCATGGTGCACATCTGGATGGTACCTTTTCACTGATATGTATTCACAGTGCATTTCAGCTGATTTGCTGGAGTCTTTACTTAAACAGAAATAAAAGAACTATTAGGATTATCAAGAAACTCTCAGCTGGACCTGAACGGTCTCTTAAATGTAAGTATTCACATGTCCTTTGCATATAACCATTCATTCATATGCTGTTCAAGACACCTGAAGAGGGTGTCTCCACAGCCAAAACCTTGTGTTTCTTTACTTTTCCTTTCAGTATGAAATAAACCTTTATCTGTTCATTCGTATACTGTGCTTAGGGGAAAAAAGCAGTAAACAAAATAAACCATATTTTCACTGCTGGATGGTTTAAAAATGACCTCTGCACACTCACCCCTGACATTTATTAAGCAGATACATTTTTATTACCAGTTGTGAGAGACAGATCAGGACTGCTCACCCGTTCCTGCGGGATGTTGGAATCCAGGATGGCCTGCACAGTGCGGAGTGTGACATTGAGCTCATCGGAGTCACCTTTGAGGTCAAAGATGATGGACGTATTGTGTTGCTTGGCCAGGTCCAGCAGCTCCGTGAGCGCTGGTATGGTCTGGTTTCGGATGGCCGCCTTGTCCTCCTCTGAGAGCGACGAGACCGTGTGGAAGGGGTCACTCTGAAACACAACACCTGTCTGAGAAGACTCACGTGGATGCGTGTTGTATGACTTGCCTCCTGTTTCTAGAACCCAGGTTATTGTTTATGGTACAAATCTATATCCACCTTCTCCACACTACCTGAGTGATGTTAACTAGGTAACAGGACAGGTTCCACACAGCCAGCTGGGGAGGGCAGATTTGACTTAGGTGTGAGCAAATGGCACACAGCATCAATCTGTCCTGCAATCTTGTAATAGGACAGCAGGACACAGATTTTTAATACACAAGGGCTGTAAAACACTTGCGTTAGAATGAAATGTACATTTTCTGCAAAAGGGAATTTTCTTTAATGCAGCCAGACAGGAACGCTGTCCTCAGTGCCTCCGTCAAAGGGCTTGTGCACTCACCTTGAGGAACCAGTCTCCAGCATTGAGTGTCTTGAGCTCTTCCCACGTGAAGGTGTGGCTTGCGTTTTCAACCCGCCCAGGGAATTTCTCTGAGACATCTGTAGTCCTCCGGAGGGATTTGTCATCGTGCATCAGGAAAGGAATTCCATTCTGACTGTGAATTAAAAAAGAGGGATGGAGTCACATGGTCAGAGAAGCAGAGAGAGCTATGGGAAATGCATTCTCTGATTGCTGACATGAGGTTCAAAAACTTTTCATCTCAAATCGAAACCTTTCTTTATGTTAGGAAAAAAACAAGTACATTATCTCACTGATACCCTCTGTTAAAGGGGTAAATGCTCAAATTGGGATCAGAAGCTAAGTGAACAGATCCTTGGATTATCTATCACCAAATGGGTTAGTTGGGCCAATGAGCTCCTCCTGTGTTTAACTATTCTAAACTAAACGTTTCAGGCAGTCCGGGCTGTTGCTCTTGAATTCTTGTGCAGTCTGGCTTACACCTTCCTCTGCCTCACCTGATGATCACGTCTGTCTCGAAGGCTTTGACGTCACACTCCAGACTCCTCCTGAAGGACAGCATGGTGTTCTCCGGGGACATCTGGGGGGACAGCACACAGGAGCACGGTTCAGAGAGACAGAGAGAGGACACACACACAGCAGCACCTGGGCCTCCCACCTGTGCTAACGTCCACACAGCAATCAGATTCCCTCTTGACCGCTCCTGACACTCCTGAATAAATGTTATCAGTGCCTGATCTCCCATTAGGCACTGTAGGCACAGTGCCTAGGACCTATGACATTTTTAGGGCCTACAAAGGAGGGAAAAACTAGTGACTGACGAAAAACGAGCTGAAACAACATGCTTGCGATGGACTCTTGGTGCTCCAAATCCATGATCATACGCTCTCCAGCGGCTGTTCTAGAAACTAGACGTGTGGAAGTGATGGTTGCCCGGCTTGCTCCATCAATCACGTGGTTTAGCGTTAGAAGTGCATCATGTCAATCGACGTCATTCAATTGGCGTTTCCCCCTCTTTCTGCACATTTGGTAGTGAAAGTGCCCGAGGCGTACGGACACCACAATCCGGCCCTGAATGTTCTAGGTGAAAAGGTGCACAGAATGTGCACCATGCTGGCGCAAAGCAAAAAGAGAAAAGTTTTTATCTCTCTTTGCAAAAGCTGTCATGGAATTTGTAAGACACAGTCATGTACAGTGCTGATAAAAAAAATAGAAAGGAACTAATTGGAAATAGAAATAAGGCATTTAAAAAGAATGTAAACACTGCTGGTTTTAAATGCCGGTAACCATGAAAGTAAGATTTACTCAGAAGTTCCTGAAAAGGTCTGGGGCTGTTCAGGCCTGATATAAAAAACAGTCAAAATCAGTACAAATTAATGAGACGTAAATAATAAGAAATGTCTTTGACGAACGCAAGCTGGTAAAAAGTCAGATGTCTGTTTAGACAATTTTACCCAGAAAATTATTTTTATTTTTTAAATTAATTACTGCTGCAAATACCCTTGACGTGTGGCTTATACACCTATTTACAAGTTGTTCTGCAACATCAACTGTCTTGCAGTTGGTCCTCTCTAGACTGATCCCAGAGATCGGTTTTCCGGCTTCATCATGCGCAAGAAACTGTAGAGGTCTTATGCCAGGAGTGTCCAATCCTGCTCCTGGAGGAGTGGTGTGTCCCTAGGTTTTAATTGCAACTCGGCTTTTAACAATGTAAAACTGCTCATTATGGGACTGATTGGATTTATCAGCTTCTCCCAAAACTCCTCAGGTGCTGGTGTTTAAACAGACTTAGAAAACCCGCAGACACACTGACTCTCCGGGACCAAGATTGGACACCCGTGTTTATCCATGAAGGGAGCAGTCAGCCAGTATACTCTCCCATGTCACAGATGTGGCAGGGAACTTGAGCAAAGATATTGGTTATGGTACTTGTCATTGCTTTAGAAACACCATCACGTTTTTTATATTTCTTTTAATGAAGAAGAACCTCATGGGGCCTGAATGGCTCTCTTGCAGTTCAGCAAAAGTTCTTGGAAGCAGTGGCACGCTTTCCTACTGCTAGAGACTGCCACAGCTTTTATCAAACTTCAATTGATCCTTCATTCAGGGGCGGACACCCTGAGCACTTCCACTCCCAGCCATGACAGAACTCTGCACCTTCCAATGAATTACTGGAATGTTCCTTGCTTTATTAATCCCAGTGCTGAAGATCACTTTGATAATTAACGATTTTCTGGGGCGAGGACTTTCAAAGGCAAGGAGCGGAGTGGAGCTGCCCTTCAGTGGTCAGATAGTAAGCCCAAGTAAAGATGGCCGTGCAGTAGACTCATTGTGTACTGTGCGTGCGGGTTTAAAAGACTCAAGAGGTTCTCTCACTCACCGTGGGTGCTCCCCGGTGTCCGATCAGAGCTGGTTTTGGGGGGAGATTATGTTTTTCCAGGAAGCAAGGTGAAGAGATCAAGAGAGGAGAGAGGAACACCGCTGCCCCCACCACCAGGTAGGCCAGGAGGATGACAACCCTGGAGACTGAAGGTACAGGAACACACCTCAGCACTGACCACCGCCCGACAGTAGGTGGCAGCACCGCACCGAGAGACTGAGTCTATATGAATACTGAGGATTCTTGTGATGCTCACCTGCTCTCCTGGCCATGAAGAATCTCTGGAAGACAAACCAGCCCAGGAGGGACACTGAAACCACCCCACCTATCTGGAGGAAGGGTCCCGTCATCTGGAGAGAGCACAGAGATGCTGACAACCACTGCCTGCATCACTCCTACTGTAACTACTACAGCAGAACTGATGCAAAGGCACTCCCGCCTCTTGGGCGACATCAGTGGAACGAGTCCCACGCAGACTCTTGCCTTCCAAGGCATCATGAGCAGTTTCCACCTCCACCCTTCACTTTCTTCTCAGTGTCAGCAGCTTCAGTAACTCTGTTCTTTCTGACGTGCCTCTGTGACTGCTCTTCCCCTTACCTGCAGTGACATGAAGACTGTGAGCCATTCTTCTTTCCATTCAAGGCATATCCCAGCAACCCCTGCAGCAATGATCAGCACAGCCAGAAGCAGCAGCACCTGCAGGGCAGAACAGAGCGATCAGGCCGGCCTGACAATGTCCCGCGATTGATCTTAAAAAAGCATCTTTTGTGATATTTAGTTCCCCGATCACAACCTTACGTTACATAAATACCTTGTGAGTGCAATGCAAATTCAGAGGTTCCCTCAGTGCCACTTGGAACAGTGCAAACACCTGCAGATTCAATCATGAAGACGTTTAAACTGGGGCATCACGGCAACAGATCCTTACGACCACACAGAAGAGATTTCTGTGTCTTAGTGTTCATACTGCAACATCAAATCTGAAAATAATGAACAATCACTTCACTTTAATGACACGTGGAACAATAGAAAGGTTTGAGGAGTCTTAAGAGACTACTTTTCCATTCCAGTCAGCTTCCACTAGGTGGCAACACACCCACACAGGTGGTGATTTTTTGCAGGCCAAGGAACAGGGTGGCACTGTGGCGCAGTGGTTAGCCTTGCTGCCTTGCAGCGCTGGGGCCATGGGTTCTGGACCTAGGGTGCTATCTGCCTGTGCTCAAGAGCGAGGAGCGCTGTGTGGGGTTTGTATGTTTTCCCTTTGTCTGTATCAGTTTTCTCCAGGCGCTCTGGTTTCCTCCCGCAATCCAAAGACATACTGGTAGATTAATTAGCTTCTGGAGAAAGTGCCCAGGTGTGAGTGTGTGTGCCCTGACATGAACCAACGTTAAGTCCTGGGTGTAACCTGCCATGGGCTCCTTTGCTTGCATGCAAACTCTTGAATTACGTGTTTCTGGATGATTTCTTTACAAAGTCTTTCACTTATGGAAAAACAGCTGTAAGCTTGTGTCCAGATGTGTGTGTCCTGGTGTCACAATGCCTCCTGTCACCGGCTCAGGGCGTGTCTTACCAGCAGGAGGCAGCTGTAGCTGACCAGCACCGAGGACATGATCACCACCACGATGAACCAGTTCACCCACCTGAACCTCAGCAGACTGAACGCCTTCCTGCAGGAGATCAAACACATCAGATACAGAGGACTCAAACTCCCAACCTCGCAACAAAGGTTCTGGCAGACCGCTGATCAGTGACCTCCTCTCCGGATTGAACTGTGAACCAGATCACTGGCACAAACTGAACACACCGACCCAAAACTGAATCAATTATTTTGGAAAGATGTTCTGGATCAGCGACCAGGAAGAGGTGGAGTCTGGTTACTGACAGCTCGGACCTGTGACGCTGCGACAGGCTGCACAGTGGGAGCAGACAGCACACTCACCAGTTGACATCGTCCCGGTCATTGATAGCTGCCCAGCACACATAGATCCAGCCGGCTTTGAGCAGGCATGCAAGGGCCAGGAAGAAGAACCAGCAGCAGGAACACTGCAAAGACATCACGGGCATCAGAGGCCAGGAGGACAAGGGGCAGAGAATGCACAGACCACGGTCAGTCATGTGCCACCACGCTCACTCTAAACCCTGGTGAGATAGCAACAGATGCTGCAGAGTGCAATTCAAATCTTCCAGGAGTCTGACGATCACGTCTCCACCCCCCCGCCGACAATTTAATGCAAAGGTGCTTATTTAGAATTTCGCATTGTTTTCGGAAAAGAAACTTAAAAAGTTTCCTCTTTCAGGTAAAAATGATTTTAACAAGGGGGCGAAGACTGCTTTTTATTTTGTTTATTTGGGACGTCAAGTTCTAGGCTTGTGCTGTGGGGATAAAAAAGATGGCCTGGTCTCTGAGCAGTTTAGCAGCCCCACAGAAAGCCCAGCTGTCCCAGGGTGAACAGAGCAGCAGAAAAACCTGTCTGTGGCGAATTCCTCATCATCACAGAAATAAGCCCTAGACCTCCAGCCACCCTCAGCCTCGGAGCACCTCTTGGGAGGAGGAAACAGACACCAGGCTAGAAGATTAACATCTCCACCCCAAAAAAACATTCCTCTTCTCCCCTGAAGGAGAGATTCCATGCAGCTGTGCGCCGGCTCAGGCAAAGGTGGAGAGGTGCTGCTGGAGTCCTGCCAGCTCCTGCTTCAAGTCTGGTTTCGCCCTCTTATTTTGTGGGTCTCAAAAGTGTCAGATGGAGCAGCAGATAGCTGCCCCCCCCCCCATCCCCTCCAGCAAGAGACAGGCAGAAAGAGCAGATCAGTCATGTCAGAGCACCCAGCTCCCTGCTACTACTTGTCTCTTAGGAGTACCCTTTTCCAGATTCTCAGCCTTCTAATTGTTCTGTCACAACTGACTGCCAAAAACGCACAGAGCTGAACTCTGGAATGCTGTACTTATTAAAAGAAAAAAAAAAAACTTGCAATGAACATCAATTCATTACTCAATTTCAGGAAAAAAAGTCTGTCAAATGGTAATATATTAGTCATGACAAATGCTCTGTGTCATTTAATTGGTATTTTAAGTTTTCTCTTAAAATGAATTATTATAATTGGAAAGAAGGCTTCAGGGTAGAGCGCAGTGGACAGGTTTCACAGCTGCAAGGGGCTGATTCTTATCCGGTTCTCCGGAAACCCTGCCGTGTTACTGACCCTGTGTTTATTCTGACTTCCGCTTCTCCAGCGGCAGCTGTAGACCCCTCGAAGGCATTTTCGGCAAAAGCTGTCCTGAGGCATGCTCCCACTTTCAGCGCCACCTGGAGGTGAGGGAGACAGAAGACAGCACATTCAGTAGACGACGGGAGCCGATGCAGCGTCTCAGCAGTGCACCCTGTGCAGGCCGTCCTCTGTGAGGCTGGGTGGGTTTACTGTACCTGTCTTTACAGCCCGGTGCATGTGGGAGTGCCCCATTACAGCACTCTCCTGCACCTGAGCACTCACCACCAGGATGGGCTGCTACACATTAATTAGGTGTCTTTCCCTGCAGTGAATGACATTAATCCCTTTTTGTATTTTCGAAATGTGTAGGTGCGGTACTCTCAAGCTTGCATCACACTGGAGTCAGGTTATGTCAGCCTGGTACAACAGTACAGAACTAATGCACAGATGCACACAGGAGTCTCTAAAGCAGGAATAGAATCAAACAGCTAACCCAGACGAATAAGCAATTTGAGGTCAAGGGGTGCCTTGAAGCTCTTGATCTGATCTAGGTCCGTATCACAGCATATATCAAGGCGTTTCTCCTAACTGCTCTGGCCTCCCCATCACAAGCTGCTTACACAGAGAACAAAGGCTCTTCTAAAAAATAGGATAAGGCACCTTTTCAGTGTTCTCTGCATGATCTGAATACTGCTCAGAGGAGGGAAAAAACAAATGTGACCTCAGAAAATACCTTGCTGAATAGCAGGCAAGCTGAGGCAGAGTCCTGGCACAGCTCTAATAGAAACACTTCGGATGGCACTGGGCACCTGGTGTGCAGATTTGAGCCGGCACATCCACTGTTTCTTTGAAAGCCTACATGCCATTCTCTTGTAGTTATGAAACCCCTGAATGCGGGACTGCGAGGTGTGTAATTAAATCCGGGCTGTTTCCGGCCAAGTGTGTTTTGCTCTTAACTAAGTGGTCCTCTTTTAGGAGAACAATGGCGAGTTCAAGCTGAAGCTTTGGGAGAAATTCATAAACTGTAAATGTAACCATAGTCATTCAGGTGTAAAATGCATTGAATTCTTGCAGAAACAAATTTTTGGTAAGAATGTCACAAGTGCATTGGCTACTTTCCCAGCTAAACCTACAGTACTCTGCCCAATGCAGAAATGTCTTAAAAACGCAAACAAAAGAACTGTGCATAACAATAGACTTGGCGTTACATTTAATAAAATTTAACTCTTTAGTAGGACATCCGCATCCCTTTTCTAATGGGTTCGGCAGAGGTGAAAACACACACAAGGTTTATTAGAAAGAACTGGCATAATCACACACAACAAGGACACCATAATGGTATCAATTGAACTCTTTAAGCAGAGAGCCCTGCATCATTTCACCAACTCTCTTTGGCCTTCTCTAATTAGCGAACCTTCTTACATTCAAATGATGCCCTGCATTCTGCACCTAGTATCCTAGATTTCACATAGTGAGGAAGGAACTAACCACAGATGGTCACACAGAGCCTGGTGGCCTCACCATGCAAGCTTGCGTGTGTGCTGAGCACAGGGCCTGTCACAAACATAACCAGGTGCCCTTTGTCAAGAAGAAAGGAGAGGTCGTTCACAGGTGACCTCATGTGCTTTGTGTCTGGAGGAATGCAGCCATTCAGTGCCGAAACCTAATCTTCTGTGTAAAGAAAGACTTATCTTGTTATCCAGACCAGTAATACAGCTAACACTACACAACAGTTGAAGCTTTTCAATAACTGGCATGTCCTTTCATGAGCCACAAAAATCATTTTCAGGAAACAAAAATAATTCCATTGGCAATAGGCATTTGTCTGGATAATTACAAATATAGAAAATCTTTATGCCTTTTTTATTTAGATATTAAAAGTGAATAATGATCTCACAAATAGTAAGAAATCAAATTGGATCATACCAATTAACTGAATCCTAGTTTTAGAAGGATTCATTCATTAGTCATTATTATGTTTGTCATACTTACTGTAATTTTTAAATAAGGGTGTCAAACTGTGGGAAAACCATGTGACTGATTAGTAAACTACCATTTCTACCAGCTCTCCTAGTCATGGTAGATGAGTCACAGGAATGCACAGGCCAATGAAATGGAATTTGTATTCACTCAGCCCCTGGGGAGTTTCAAGCCACTGCGAAAAGTCCAAACTTGATGTAAGACACGACACCCCCACTAAACACATCCTAAAAGTTACTCTGTTCCTCTTCCCAGCTCTTCACCAACGTTTCAAGCCAGGTGTGGACAGAAAAGAGGAGATGAAGGTGCTCTCTAAGGAATGAGAGACCTGACACGATTCCTGGCCAGTCTGGTGCATCTTTGCCTTGAAGGAGCCGCGGGCTTGTTCTGGGGGTGAAGGGGTTAAGGGGTGTGGCCCCCCCCCCAAAAAAAAAAACTGTTGCTCTAGGACATCGGCCAGCAAAGTGCAGCACCAAGGGCAAACAGACTGTGCCCACTGTCGAGGAAATTTACCTATCAAGGAAGCCACAGGAGAGAGTTCTCACCTGAGTAAGGTCTTTATTTCAATATTGCAATATTGGGAGCCCTGCTGCCACTTCGCAAAGTGCAACCAGAGACTCAATTTGTTACAAGCAGTACAGGGTTTTTATAAGACGTTGCGCTGTAAGAGAAAGCTCAGCGCTTTGTCCCTTCTAAAACGTCCCCTTTCCCTAAGACAAAACAGATTACATCATAGAGCGAGAGAAGAAGCACTAGATTTGTTATTCAAAGCTTATCAGTTACTTTCGGCTAATTCTAACGACCCAGACAGCATATATTGTTTTGGTTCATTGTCTTCTAAAGTAACCTAAACAGTGTACTTTGTTGACGCACTGTTTTCTAAAATTCTGCACGTACTGTAGCACAGCAATTACATCCTTGAAATATATTATCTAAAAGCACCAATATATTTTTTGCAAAGCTCTCTACATTTTAAGAATCAATTTACTTATTAGATTTCCGTTTCACCACGGATTTGTCAAGAACAGCGGCTGTGCTCACAGGGAGAGCCCGGTGCCCGTTCCCTGGGGCCGGTCTGTCCAGTCTTTTTCCCCTGTGGATTGAACAGTCTCTCTACAGATCCCGGGTCCGACAGTGTGGAAGCAACTCTGATTTAATGAAACACGCTGGTGCCTAGAAGAGGAAAAAAAACCTACGCTCATGGAGCACGCCACTCCTCCAGAGATGTAACAGCCCGTGGGGATCCATCCAGCTATTTGCATCCTGGCTGCCAAGGAAATTCCTGAGAAGAGCTTTCAAGCCTTTGCACAACATTATTAATTCCTTTCAATTTTATCTTCCCCAGTTCTTAATACCTTCCCACATTGTCTCCCAGTCCTGTTAAGAAGAGGAACAGAATTGGTACACTCAAATCTTAAGAAAATAATTAGTCATTCTTTGTTGCCTCTGCTGACGCTCGACTGATACGATTTGCAATTCTTTCTCCTAGAGCTTGCCTAAGAGGGATTCAGCAAAAGCCAGTGATAGAGTAACCCTGGCCCACATGACTGCCTCTCAGTCTGCCAGTGAATGTGGCAATTACACAGAGCAAAGCTTCCTTCTTGACATGAGCTGAATGATATAGCCAGAAAAGGGACCATGTGCTCACCTAACAGCCCAGAGTGACACAACACTTGCTGTGAAGATAAAAAAACCTTCCACTTTCCCAGGGTTTTTGATAAAAGAAAACTTTTTTGGACTTTTCAGCCCACGAACTAGTCTTCCTCGGGAGAATGAGGGAATTTGGGTGGAAAAGCCGGATCCTTTGTCATAAAGTTACATTTTTATCCCAGGAGCCCTTGATGATGCAACAGTTCCCTGCCTATAGCTGATAGAGGGCTGTAGAGCAAATCATCCAGCCATGGAATATCGTATCAAAGACATTCCACAGCTCAAGGACAGCAATACACTGTATCCAGGGCCCAGATCAGACTGAGCCCTCTGCTCACCCTGCAGTTCCAGGGTGCAATATCCCGATCCTAACGTCTGCTGCCGCTCATGGTAGGTACTAGAAACCCCTGTTAAAGTTAAATCATCAAGAGATACACTCCCCAGGAGGAGGTTTGAACCGGAGGATCAGATATCGGCTTGATCATCATTCGATTGATAACATTAGGCATTTGTGTCAGTGACTCATCACAAACACAGTAACAGTGCTGAAGCAAGGCAGGGCTAGAGAGGATTATAGGCAGAGCTCTCTGTAATGCCATGTGACACACATCTGAAGTGCTGGTGTTTACAGGGATACCAAAAAAAACAAATCTAAGTCTTTTGTCAATATAATGTCAAAGTATAAAAGTATAACGTTATCTGTTCAAAACACTGTGTATGTACACTTGAATTGGAACGACCCATTACTATCGCAACATTTTCCTGAGGATTGGGTAAAGATCACAAGTATGTTAAATGCGGGTCCCTTAGTTTGTTAAAAAAGCATGCTTCATACCCACACTACGATTTGTAAGAGTGCCTGAATATCTGCATGTCAACAATCCTGTGGTTCTGTCTACTCAACAGATCAAAGATACACCAAAACACACCCAGAGCAGCGGCATCTCTGTTTTGAAAACCCAAAGCAATGTCCGGATACGAAAAGAAAGAAAAGCATTAAAATGCAGAAAAGAAATATAGAAAGAAGTTATACAGAGAATACAATGACTTCTTTCAAACGTCTGTCAGTACTTTGGGAGCTTGTAAAAAGGTACTATCTGAGAGCTCACAATAATGCTCCAGTTTGAGCTGAAAGAAAAGAAGAAGAAGGCTCACAGATGTTTGTTTCTCTTATCTTCACTGAAAGGTTTTGCCAGTTGTGCTCGGTGTTAAGAGTTTTTCCCACCTGTATCACTTATTTTACTTGCACACACACTGAATCTTATTATTTGCAGCTAGTTATCCGGAGGGGTTAAATATCCTGGTACAATTAACAACATGTACAGGCTGCAAGTCCTCATGCTGCGCAGGAAAGACTTATTGACCTCTTTCCACAACAAGGCACTCAAACTTTCACAAGTACTTGGATGTGAGAGAGAAGTTTCATCACATAAAAGTTAAAAATGTTTTTATTCAGTGAAAGTTAATGCAACCTCAGCTGTTTTGCTAGTTGGGTAATGAATAAACATTTTTTCACAAACTGTAATATGCATTTTGTTAAAAGGTACATTTGGAGAAATGGAGCTTGTGGTGATGTCAGAGAGAGGACAAACTCTAGTTCTGACAGGGGGCGAGCTGGGGGAGAGTGCCCTCAAACCTTCACTCTCCCCATGTGTGCATGAATCGAACAGGTGAAGCCAAGTCATAAACACTTGGAAGTTCTAAACTGTGTGTGTATAAAATAAAAAAAGAACTGCCAATTGTTTTCCATGAACAGGAAGACCCAGTAGCAGAATTTGACAGATTGGTATTGGGTATTTTATGTCTGAACGGAGAATGCAGGTGTGCTTAATATTCTGTTAGTACACAGTTAAACGTAGTTCACAAACCTGTTTTCCTCACTGCAAAGTTTTGAAAGCTACATTCACAGAGCTGTGAAAACAAGCTGATTCACAACAGGTTGGAACCAATCTGCCTTTTAACTCGAAAGGAACTGCCTTTCTAATTACATTGCCTTGGAATGGGCAGATTGCCCACGGTGAATATCAAGGGGCAAATAGTACTATGCTACCTCGGTAAGAGCCGCCTGATACGTTAGAGCACTTATTGTTGCAGTTGTCAGTGTAGGAGGTGATGGATTTATCCCACTGACAGATAATATACACAATGTTTCACTCAAATGCCTAAATTCATATCTAGGTTTACATCTCTAGATTCTGTTGCTTGAAAGTAATCATTTTAAAGACCCGATCCACAGAGCTGTCAGGCATATAGTAGCCCGGTGTTAGAGACTGAAAGTGAGGAGGACACGAACAGAAGCTGTGAAAAACAACACTCAGATGTTCAGGTTTAAGTGCCAGTAGCTTCGAACTAAATCTTAGAGCTGGAAGGGAAGGAGGTGCCGTGCACAAGGAAGCGCATTAAGCGCTGCTGGAAGAAGCTGCGCGAGACATCGAGTCACTAAAACATGAAGTGAAAAGGTGACTTCATCTTGACAGTACACAGAGGTCAGATAGAAACGTCTGGAGTGTTTGTGTGGTCATTAATTAGAAGTTCCTCTGAAGAAAAATGGAACTCTATTACAAATGAGAACACAGCAGTTCCTGTAAAGTCAGGCCTCAGTGCACCAGGGACCAGCAGATACTGCAGCAAAAACCGATGATAATAGGAATTACTGTACTGCTACTGACTCTGTATTAAGGGGAGACTCTAATACAATGACCCCAGTCCTGGTCCTCAGACAGCAGTGTGTCTGCAGGTTCCCCAGGCCCCTTTAGAGTACCAGCACCTGAAGCGCTGGAGGAGACTCTTTAGTTACCTCAATTAATGCACTAATGAGATGATTTAGGTCATTAAGAGCTTAGCTGGAATGAAAACCTGCAGGCACACCAACCAAACCGGGACAATAGAACTGACAAGAGAATCACCGAGAGTGAAAAAGTGACGGGCAGCGTTTTTGACACTTCATTAGTCCGGAACAAGAGGGGCTGCCTGTCTGAGCTGCAGTGTTCTCATGTAGTTCTGCCCAAATTCATAACACTGTGGTCACTGACCCACAGGGATAAAGCAATCAAAATGAAATTATCCACAAGGAACAGCTGCAAAATTAAATCTTACTAAACTCAGAGCAGTACAAAGCAGATACAGTGTGCAATGTATGCAGTATTAAGGACTATAATACAGTCAATAGTTTACCTTATTTTTTTTAAAGCAGCAGCTATTACATCTAGAAAGGCAAAGCCCTTTTTATCACACAGATACAATTATTTTTATTTTTACAATAGTATGGTCATGATCATTAAGAACCAGTAATTCGAAGGTGCTATAAAAACTATAACTTGTTCTATTTCCTGAGTTGGAGACCAGGGTCTAGACATTACATGGATCCTCAGGTGAGATCCCCAGAGTTGAGTAGATTTTAGCAGACCCCCAAAATCTACTGAAATGACAACAGATCCTTTTTATTGAATATCTAAAACAGAACAATAACCCCCAAAATAACAGCAAAATAACGGTTCTTGTTTTTCTGCAGAACCAGCTGTCTGGCCAAACGGCATTCTCAGAATATTAAGAATATTAAGAACAGTGAATTCAGTTCATTGCCAGCCTTGTCATGTTTGTAGGTACTGTCAGTAAAATCTCACCTGTCTTGTGTCTGCCGCCCTCTGTATCTCCCTCAGCACCACCGGCACACTCTGCGGGTTGACTCCTCACGCCCCCTGTCCACGTCATGTACCTGTTGTGAAGAGCAGAGGGCCTGCGCTGTGAACCAGGACCTCCCAGTCTCACTGCCTGAGCAGGGGAACCTCCTCTCAGGGCTGCTTTCTGTCTGATACAGCCGGTCTCCATCTCCAAAGAGCACTACCAATCCCCTGCAGTTCCCCACAGAGCATTACCAAAGCAATCTGCACCGAAGGGTGCAGCACCAGTTTCAATCAAGCACTGCCCATCTGCAGCAATGCCGGAGTTCTATACATTTTAATGGTTCGTCCTGATTTGATCACAGGGTCAAAATTGTTTGCTTACATTTGCACAGAGCTTCTCATGCCACTTCATCCAGCAGTGAAGCGCAGCCCCACCTGGGTGGCATGACAATGAGGCGCCAGCGACCACACTGGCAAAGCATCAGGTGGAGGAGTGAGAACCGACTGTAATTGAATTCATTAGGGGGGTCATCAAGGTGGCGCAGTGGTTAGCATTGTTGCCCTGCAGTGCTGGGGCCCTGGAGCGTTATCTGCACGGAGTTTGTGTGTTCTCCCCCATATTTGCATGGGTTTGCCCTGGTTTCCTCCCACAGTCTAAAGACAGGCTGGTGGGTTAACTGATGTCTGGGTGTCTGCCCTGTGACAGACTGGTATCCAATCCATGGTGTACCCTGCCGTGCATATCAGGTCCACAAAGAAAGACTCACTACAGGGCCGAAGGGCAGGAGACAGATGGATAAAACCCTCTTAGCTGCACACTAAGCTGTGGCTAGATTGAGGTCTTCTCACTCCTGAAAGAATTCAAAGTTAATTTTTTATACATTCAGATTTATGAAGCAGGCTCGGGGGAGCTCCTGTTCAGGAGCCCCACTAAAATTTAAGGTACAACAGACTTTGTACATTCAAATATGGAGCAAACACCTGGCCAAAAATCAAGGAAAGGAACAAAAACCCACGAGTGATTAAAACTTTCACACATAGAGACATTATTATCTGCTTTTTCTCACTGCAATTTCTTGTAGAATTATATCATCGTTTTCACACCTCTTGAGAAACTGCCAAGCTTGCGAAGCTGAACAAGGAATGAAAACAGAAGGAAAGATTAATCAGGAGCTCCTGTCAGTGTAAAGTAATTTACCAGCCGGAGTGGTTTACCAAGTGATTACCTGAATCCAGCGCGGTGGGATCCCCAAGATCGGGTCGCTTATTACAGTGGGATCGCTTTCGAGGATATAACTCGAGAGAGCTCTTACGGGAAACGCAACAAGATGTGAATCAAGCAGAACAGGACATTAAAAAGCCAACCATATCATCCGCATGCCAGCATGCTGCAGCTCACGAAGACAAAGGGAATTTCACAATCTCTTTCGAGTTCTTTTTTTCCTTCCAGACCCCGAAGCCGCTGGTAATGACTGATTTTAAGTCGCTTTTTTTTCCATTAAACGACACACCCTGGCTACTTGGCAACTTTCAAATCGGTAAGAGCTGATTGAGCTTCTAAGACTGTACCTTATTAAATTCCTGCCGTTCAGCAGGTTTGTACTTGTGAAGCGGTAATTGTCATTCGCCCCATGTGCCCTTATTCCTTCATCAGGTCTGACACTGAGCGCTCACCGGCGCAGTTTCTGTCCCCCGCTCCGGCTGGCCACGATCGGAGGTGGACTTCAACAGCAAAAGCGCACGACAGCGTTCTGTACGCCGTCTTTAAACCGCAAGTGAAAAACGAGCGACGTCAAACGAGGGAAGCGGTAGGTCGGGGCATTTAAGTATCAGGGAGCGGAGGAATAACCCAATTTACCGCGAGCGCGTGCCGGGTGGTTTTCCAAAACCCGTGAGCGCGGCGCGTAAAACGAAAACACATTAAATCATTTCCCAGGTGCCGCCCGTAACAAATGCCTTCATTCCAGCTCGACCTCTTGCCGAGCAGTTTCAAGTCTGGCGCCGCGGTTCAGTCTCGTTTACCTGCGCACGGTAGGCAGGCAAGTGCAAGACACTGGAGTACTGGCAACTAGCCGAGGAAGTCCCCTGAGGTTATCTGAAGCCTGTATTTGCGTCTTCTCTCTGACCCGGGGCGCGATCCGCACCTGCGTGGGCCGCATCAGTTAAGAGACGCCGAACGGCCCAAAAGATGGACACGTTGTGAGGAGATTAGAGGGGGAATCGTTCATTTTAATAGGTTCTTCATTATCATTATTAGGGTGAGAGCCTGATGGGATAATCTTTTTGAGCTCTTCCTGCTGGAATGAGATCGCCTCGTCAGAAGCACGCAGTTCGTCCTCGGACGTGGCACAGAAGCGCACCCACGGAGGAAGACCGCGCTCAATGTCCTTCTCTTCGTCACTCCTGGCGTTGTCAGGGGCCACTGAGCACGGAGCACGGGGGGTAGTCAACAGTTAAGGGTTTCTTCAGGTTGAGATGCCGAACCACATCTTGAAATGCAAATTGTGGGTATAGGAGCGTACAGTTATTCGACAGATAAGAGCGAAGTTATTTTTTTTTATGACGAACATGAATTCCAATACGATTACAAAAGGTTTTCTGGGCCTGCTCGCTGAATAAATAAATAAGGGCTGATTTAATGAGCTGCAGTTCACGCACAGCACCTACGGGGTGTGCTGAGAACGTTCGCAGCAACAAGGAGATCAATTTATCTCTCACAGATCTTTGGTCTTTGTGAACGAAGGTTTTTTGTAAGCGGTTTGAGTAGCTGTGTATGAATGTGAGATTGTTCCAGTTCATGAAAACGTGAAAAAACACTATAAATACAGCAGGTTTAGTTACGGTTGTGTTAAACGGGTTGGAGTGTATCTGGAGGGTTAAAACGATTCTGCCATAATAACTTTCCAATGAGACATTTACACTCAAAAGCATTTCATTTAAATAGGCTTCTACACCTGGAATATCTGCATTTCCACAAGACCAATACTGTCTGAAAGCAGAACAAAGATGGTCATGTACTTTTTATTATTCCTAGGTAGAAATCTCAAATAACTTACCATACTTTTTGAAAATGCTAAGGAATGCCTGTTTATTGTGTCAGAAATGAAAATGATTCATTAATCGCCTCAATGTACTTTCAAGACGGACACTTACTGTATACACAGAGCCTGGAGGAGCACATGATTAACAATGAAACTATGTGTTTTGACGAAGTTATAAGAGATGTTTGGCTCTGCACTGAGCTCTTCTATCTCAGCATCCAATAGAATTTTAAAGGGACCTCGATCTTGGCCATTAATCTGAGCTTTAAGAATTATCTGTCCAACAGAACAATTCCTCCATTCAAGAAGTTGCTCCTCACTTTCTACTTGATGAGCAACACAAAGAACAACTCCCCACTGGACCTCAGCAGGAGTGGGCCTGGCCAGTACCTGGATGGGACACCTCCTGAGAAAGCTAAGGTCGGTGCTGGAAGATGTGTTACTGGCACCAGTAGGGGGCGCTCACCCTGTGGGTCCTAAAGCCCCACTATACTATACTGTAAAAAAGGCACCGTCCTTCAGATAAGATGTAAAACCGAGGCCTTGACTCTCTGTGGTCGTTAAAAATCCCAGGGAGTTTCTTAAAACAAAGTAGGGCTGTTAAACCTGGTGTCCTGGCCAAATTTCCCCAGGGGTCTTTATCATGGCCTTCACCCAGTCATGGCCTAGTAATGATCCCCATCTCTGAACTGGCTTCATCACTCCTCCCCACAGACACCTGTAGCTGGTGTGGGGTGAGAGTACTGATACACCCTGGCTGCTGTCACATCATCCAGGTGGGGCTACACGTTAGTGATGGAGGGGATCCCCATTACCTGTTGAGTGCTGTGAGTGCTGTCCAGAAAAGCGCTATATAAGTGTAAGGAATTATTATTACACTGCGTGAGTCGTATTGTGTCACACAGTTGAAGTATTACACTTGGAGTAATTATAGACAAGCAACTCCCTTCTTGGGACTGGAAACCAATGCAAAAACTCCATTAGATTGTGTCCTAGATCTTCAATATAGGAGCTCTATGTTACTGGGCTTAGGTAGGACTTGTGGACAACATTGATTCACAGAAAAAACAGGGGATGTGGAAAGGGTAGCTAATGATGCCAATCCATTAACACGTGCTACGAGCAAGACTCTCTTTTCCTAACAAGAAAACAGAATTCTCCAGTTTCACCACAATCTCTCAGGACGGTTAGTTTTTCAACACCTTTTCGATGCTGCAATCATAGGACTTATAATTTACCTTTAACATGGCAACTGCTGTGGAAGAGACTTAAGAAGCCTGACCTGGACTCCTCCACACCACACACAGGGCACTCTGTTTGCAGATTGAAATCAGCGAGAGAATGACGATCAAGCCCATGTTTTCCAGTGCCAGTAACCCCCGGGCAGCCACAAGGAGGTTCAGTGTCTCCAGGATTTACTGTTCTGTGTGACACACTGATCCTCTCGTGCAGCAACTGAAACCCTTGCAAAAAGCCATTTTGCCCTACGGCCCAATGAAATCAAAGCAAATCTTTCATCAGCTTGGTGTTGCATTTCACAGAGCCATATCTCTTTAAAGGCAGATTCTTTTTTAGTCTTATTGTTGATCTTCTGAGACCGAGGCGGGCCAGTTCGTGCTGCAATCAAGCTGCGTTTTTTTGGGGGGCTTGGGCTCATTCCTCTCACCTGAGTTTTCACAAAGTGAGATTCACACCACAGGCTGCATGAACAAACTGTAATTAACTGGTATGCAGAGACACTGACAGTGTAGGTTTGGTTTAAACAGCTCCCTTAGGGTATTCTGTGTACTACAGTATGTCCCTCTATTTAGTCAATTTTATCCGAGATAGATTTCCAGCTACTTATTAAAGTCACCTGCAATTTCAACACTGTGTCACATGTCCATGCCAGAGCAGCTATGTCTGTACTGGGAAAAAAATAAGAACTGTGACGTTTTCCTGGTAAAAACATCTTTGCAGAAGAATCTTATTTTCTTCTGCAAATTCCAAACAGACCATTGTGCTCAGTGCTCATGCTTATTGTGCTACTGTGCACTAGAGCAGGGCATTCA